GCCGTGCACATCTTGCAGTGGTGGGATAAGAAACTGCCTCTGTCTCTTAAACTGTATCCTATACATATATAATGCACTGACGTAGCTTGGTTAGTGTAATCTACTTCTCCGAGGCAGTCCTGTATAGACTTTGTTCGGTCAATCCATATCTAATGTCCCTGCAATGCTTTCATGAAGCCATATCCTCTTTTCTTCGTTTTTTCGGTGGTCTATACCTGGCCTTCCTAATCTCGGAGACAGCTGATAATACGTATTTTCATTTGTTTGATAGATAGTGGTGCTGTATAGTATGGTTCTTCATGTTTTGATTTGGCGAGAGGGTATCCAGTATGGGGACACTTGTATAGCTGCTCTGACAGCCTAGAAATTTGTGAAGGATTCTCTCTCTCTCTCTCTCATATTATATATATATATATATATATATATATATATATATATATATATATATATATATATATATATTACAATCATCCCCAACCAATTGAACCGAAAACAAGGGGGCCGGCCACAGGGCCATATATTAACATCTTTCATACCGTAAAACCATAAACCATAACCAGAGACACACTTAAGTTCACTTTTTTCTCAGCAACCACAAGGAGTTGGGGGGAATTCTTGGGCGCGTTAGAAAGGTCTCGAGGTCCTGGTTTGAGTACTCGTATACCCCTTATAGACCCTTAAACACCCTAAACAATGGAATGGGTTAGGGAGATGATCGAGTGTGCTATGGAAGGCTGTGATAGAGTAGAGGCGATTGGGCACGGTTTGAGATCTCGCATTCCCTTTAAATATAGCGGGCATAGGTACATGCGTCACCTTTTCGGGGCGGCGCCTCTAAATTGCATTCTGAGCGTGATATATATAAATATATATATGCACCATACTATTATATGGATTATGTACATTAATGATGATATTTTTACTATCAAAGCATATTTCAACACTAAGTTATCCAGTGTCTTGTCACGTTTGCCATCGATCACTTTTGATGATAAAGTTCTTTGTGTAATTTGAAAAGTACTATTGCAGGTGGATTAGCAATATCTGGTCTGTTAGGACGTATTCTGCAATTTTTGCTTAACGAGTACTAGTTCTGCAAAAAGTTAATTGTTCAAGGTTACATTCAGAGATTACTTAGAGCCCTTCCAAGTCCCACCACAGTCTGAGGCTACAATTGCTCAGGGGTGGAACATAAAACATTCCTTTCCTGAAATTTGGATTGCTGAACTATCTGTTGATTTATCTTGAACACCAGCTGCTCCATCTGCCTGAGTAGTATCTGCAGCAGTTCCTTCGTGTTTCCGATGGACTCTTGCTCGACCTGCTGCAGTAAGAGGCTGATCTGGAGTTGGTGCTGAAATTGGTGCTGGAGTTGACTGGCCTTTTACTCCTGTTGGCACTGCTGTTGTGAACGGTGCCATGGCTTTCTTCGCAGGGGCCATCAGTGCTGACGTTTGGAAGTGTGGGAATTCCCTCACATTACCTTATTTTCACATTACCCTTCCTTACACATTTCCTACTAATATATTTACCTTCGCAAGGGGAAGCGCTGTCTCTGGTTCAGTAAGTGCCCCGTGTCCCCGCTTCGAGCATCACGGGATCAGAAATTTTAAGACGGAAAACCTAAATTATTCTAGAAATTACCTTCCCCTCGCATAGTATGACGGACCTTCTAGGCTTCATTATACCAATATATTTCCCTTTCCCTCATCATTCCATATATTTCTCTGGCTCATATAGATAGATGGAGAGAAAGAGTAAGATAAAAGAGAAAAGAGTTTAGAAGATAGTAGAGATAGCGAGAGAGAGAGAGAGAGCGAAGAGCGAGAAGCGAGATAGATGAGATAGAGAGATAGAGCGGAGAGAAGAGAGAGAGGAGAGAGAGAAGAGAGAGCGAGAGAGAGAGAGAGAGAGAGAGAGAGAGAGAGAGAGGAGAGAGAGAGAGAGGCAGAAATAAAGGTAGTATCTCTCACGATTCGCACGTGTAATATGCATATATACATTTCCTGTACACATATATCTATATGTACCTGTCTGCTACTGACCATCTACCTATGTATGTATGTACGTTTACACACACACACACACACACACACACACACACACACACACACACACACACAACACACACACACACACACATACACACACACACTGTATATATATATATATATATATATATATATATATATATATATATATGTATGTATTATCTACATATCTAACTCTATATGTGTTCGACTACCTATAACTACCTATCTATCTACATCTTTATATCTCTATCTATCTATCTACTATCTTTATCTATCTTTATCTATCTACGTGCACGTATCCTCTACACGCCGCGCGCAGACCCGCCGGCGCAGAGGAGGCCGCCCGCCGATTGTAGAGACATGTATCAATCTGAGGCTGACCTTGTGCGTGGGCGGGGCGTAGGTTGCGGGGGAATGGGCGGGCGGGGGGAGGGGAGGGAGGAGAGAGGGAAGGGGGGTTGGGGTGGGGAGGAATTGAGGATGGGGGAGGGGGAGGGTGGAGAGTGGGTGGAGAGGAGGGAGGGAGGGAGGGGAGGTTGTAGGAGGGAGGAGGAGGAGGGCGAAGGAAGGGAGGGAGTAGGAAGGAGGGTGGGTGGAGGAGAGAGAAGGGAGGAGGAGAGGGATATGGGGAGGGAGGGGGTTTAGGAAAGGAGGGAGGAGAGAGGGGGAGGAGCGGGATGTGGGAAGGGAGGGAGGGGTTGGGAAGGAGAGAGAGAGAAGAGAGAGAGAGGAGGGAGGGGAATGTGGGGAGGTGAGGGGAGAGGTGAGAAGGGAAGGGAGGAAGGAGGGGAGGGTGGAGAGTGGGCGGGAGGAGAGAGAAGAGAGGGGGAGGGAGGGAAAGGGGGATGTGGGAGGGGAGGGAGGGAAGGAGGGTGGGAGATGTGATCCAATATGTGCTTCTCACCATAAATACGGTGACCTTGGGCGGGATGAGCGTTTTGCAGGGAGGGTAGGGGTGAGGGGGTGAGGAAGGGTGAAGTTGGGGCCGTTTGGGAGGGCTCATGGACGTGGGGGGGGGGAGTGGGGGAGAGGAGGGAGGGGGGGTTCTCGCGCATTGTCGTATCTGGCGCGAATCTCAACAAACTGTGCCTCGTCTAAAATTGATTATCGTGACTCTGCAGATCTACTTATAGACCGCTAATACTCGTTCAGATATCGTTTGTATTTTGGGATTTGTATGTATGTACATGCATACTTTTATATTATAGATAGATAGATAGGTAGATGATTAGAGATAGATAGGTAGATAGATAGATAGATAGATAGATGGAGGATAGACAGATAGATGGATAGATAGATGGATAGATAGATAGATAGATAGATAGATAGATGAATAGATAGGATAGATAGATAGAAAGATAGATGGATAGATAGATAGATAGAAAGATAGATAATTAGATAGATAGGTAGATAGATAGATAAACAGATGAAAGCATAGGATAGATTAGAAAGATATTCACTCCACTCACATGCATACATTACATATTTACATTCGTACACACACACACACACACACACACACACACACACACCACACACACACACACACACACACACACACACACACACCCNAAGTTCTTGACAGCAATTCTTCTCCGTCTAAGCCTTCTTACATAAGATTCTACATGTTTGGCTGTAACTTGTGGAAGCGCGACATGAGGAGGTATCTCTTTTATTTCCACAAAACTCTCTCCCCAAGTTCTAGTGAAGAAATCTCTCTGAAAAAAATTGCCAATTAAAACAGTAAGAGATATTCAACTAAAAAAAAAAAAACACATACAAATGTACAAAAAAAAAAAAAAAAAAAAAAAATCACATTCACACAAGCACAAATTCAAACAAAAACACAAAGACATTTTTTTTTAATATTTGAAAATCTAATGAGGCACATCAATGAACAGCATTCATTACAACAACTATAGAAAAAGGAATGAAAGAAAATGAATGCGTTTATACCCAAAAGATCAAACATACATTTATTTTTAGTGAAGGTATATTCAAAACCAGTGAAAAGCACCTCTTGCACTGTGAAAATATTCATTCTCATTCAAACCTTTGCCGACAACACTCCAAAACACTTGAGACCCCTCATTCCCCTACGGGGGTCGTTCAGAACAGCAGCTACATTTTGGGTCGAAGAAAAGACACCCCATTTCTCTTCTCTTCCTTGCGTCTGAGCTTTTGAGATCACTCCAGAGCTCCCTGACAAATGAGATAAAATCAAACACATAATTTGTATGTAAAAAAAGGGGGTTTCTATTGTGTTTTTCCAATTATTCAAATAAAAGAGCAAGAGAAAAAAAAACCTATGACATGAAATTCAATACAATACTATTTCATTCCAGTTATTTTTCACACCCACCTTTATAACAGTGAACGCATGGTGTTTAAGCACGTGATCCTCATAGTCTTTGTCACTCACTCCCTCTAAAGGTAATGATGAGCACACACCATTGTAGCCATAACGACAAACAAAGCTTCCACCTTCTTTTTTGTGCTGACATTCACGGATATGTCTGCAATGTTTGATGTACAAGTTTAGGGGTATTTTCATAGTTATATTTCACACAGGTTGAATTTTTCTTGCATTTTTACAAAATTAAAAAAGACAAAGGTATACCAGACAATATTTCAATCTGAATACCTAAAATACAAAACTTCACACAAAATCAGGATCAAATAAAAATAAATAAGAAAGAAGAGTTCTGATTCAAAGTATTAGCATTCCTGTATTACAGACTACATAAAGCAACAAATGGCACATGCAGCACTACATAAATTGCACAACATACCATAAGATCAATGTCATATCAACTGCGGAGAACATCATCTACAGACAAATGCCATGAATGGAAGGAGACACAAAGAGGTGAAAAAACACAAAGTCAAACGGACAGATAGAAAAACAGACAGATAGACAATTAGGCTTGTTAGTAGGTAAGGCAGGCAGCAGCAGGCAGGCAGGCAGGCAAGGCAGGCAGGCAGGCAGGCAGGCAGGCAGGCAGGCAGGCAGGCAGGCAGGCAGGCAAGCAGGTAGGTAGGTAGGTAGGTAGGTAGGTAGGTAGGCAGGCAGGCAGGCAGGCAGGCAGGCAGGCAGGCAGGCAGGCAGGCAGGCAGGCAGGCAGGCAGGCAGGCAGGCAAGGGCAGGCAGGGTAGGGGTAGGTAGGTAGGTAGGTAGTAGGTAGGTAAGGCAGGCAGGCAGGCAGATATGCAAGAAAGCATGCAGACAGGCAGACAAGCAAGCAAGCAGGTATTTATGCAAGTAAGCATGCAAGCAGGCAGGCAAGCAGGCAAGCCTGTAGGTACACAAGTTGTCAGGTAGACAGGCAGGATGGCAAGCAGGTAGACACGCAAAAAGGCAGGCAGGTATATAACCAGACAGTGAAGACAAGCTGTGACAGAGGGACATACACAGACACATAGACTGAGAAACAATTAGAAAGTGTAAGTGAAAGTCTGAGCAAGACCAAAGGAAAAACTACAAAGGCAATAGCAAGTGCGAGCGGAGATAAATGAGACCAATATGATCAGAATGAGAAAAAACCTGTCAAAATAAGTTTTAAAATTAGACTGAATATCTGATGCATAACCATGATACAATACGAACCAATGTCTGTATTAGCACTAAAAATAGGAACAAACATAAAGATGTGAATAAAGAATAATTACAAAGCATCAGATCAAGAGTCAGAAATAACATGAATTTGTAAATTTATGTCAGAATTAGAAAATGACAAAAGTCTTTGGAGGTGAAAATGTTCTCTTTTTTTATTATTATCACCTTTTGAATGTGTGACTTTATCAAGAATGAATATTATGTGGAAATGAAATATGATCAACCATGGAGGATTCATGGCAGAAAAAAGAATGTATTCCCTATATCAAATTCATGTGAAACACTCATACAACTTTTGGAAAAACCATGTCTCGACCTGAGCAATATTTTCCTAACCCACCCTATACATTTCCCTTTCCAGGGTGGTTCTGCCACCCATGCAACACCCCACTGGGCCAATAAGTGATTTACCCAAATCAACCAACCCAACCAAGCCAAACCCATCCAAACCCAACCAACCAAACCCATCAGAATTCCAATCCAATCCAAACCAACCCAGCAGCTGCACTAATGTTATCAATAGATGAAAAGTTGTTACTGAAAGTAGCTCATAAAAATTGAACGTAACTTCATTCCCTTACATCAGACACAAAAGTTGTTAAAAACTGAAGAACAATTTTCTATTACTAGCATTTAGTGCTAGTTAGTAGAAAAAAGGCTAGCTGATGCTACTGATGATTCATATTACCAACTACATTAGCAATACTTAACACAGACATACACATTAACCCATTCTGCAAGGTAAAAAAGTTTGGCAAGTGGACATGATTGCGGCATTGGTGGTGCACATATACTTAGTGCCTACTTAGCTGGCCTGTCACTTCCCGTTACTTTACACATTATTCTGCCCATTCTGCACATAGTTTGGCAAGTGGACATGATTGCGGCATTGGTGGTGCACATCAGCAGTTTCCCTTGTTTGCACCCAACTCATTCTGTAGTTTGCAAGCGACATTCAGTACCTAAAAGCTTTTATTTTGCTATAGTTTTTAATAATATAAAAAATTTGAAGGTTTACCTTCACTTTAGGTGTTATTGCCTTAAAGCTTAATCATATAAATAAAGCCGCTAATATCAGAGAAAAACAAGCTTTGTCCGATGGGCCAATGACGCAGAAATGGTTGTTACTACTTTGTCCACAACTGCCATGGCATGCACATACTTGCCACCCAGCAGCAAGGGGTTAATGACATTCTGACATAATCTATTGTTTGAATATAGTACATATAGGAGACTAAAACTAATGATTAGAAACTATACATGAATCTGCCTGTGCATGTGTGTGGGTATGTGAATGCGTGAGTGCCTGTGCGTTTGCAAGTGCCTGTGCACATGTGCATGTGTGTATGTGTGGGGTGCGTGCATGCATGCATGTGTGCGTGCGTGCGTGTATGTGCCTGTGTCTGTGCCTTTGCCTGTGTCTTTGCCTATGCCTATGCCTATGCCTGTGCGTGTGCATGTGTGTGTTAGTGTGCGTGTTCCTTTGCCTGTGTGAGTACATGCATGTGTGTTTGTGTGTGAATGTGTGTGTACATGTGTGTACTGGTATTCATGTATATACACATGCAAGCTTAAAAACCTACGTGGTAATGCGAAAGTATTTCTGCAACAAGATACTGAAATAAAAAATCTGTGAAGCATTTTACCAAGCAAAGCCAGAACTTAAGGGGGAAAAAATCTAAATCATTAGTAAAAGCAACCAAACATGCATCACTCACTTGAGGAAATCATTAGGGACTTTGAAGATGCGTCCCTGACAGTACAGACACTGACGCCAACCATTTGCCGCCACTGTGGACGACCCTAGGCCACTTCCCACTTCAGTCATTATGCATGTTCATTATGCTAGCAACTGTTAGTTTGGAGAATTGGAAAGACAGTATGTTAATGCACAAAAGCATATACAAGTGAGAGAACCTTACTAATCTACAACATATAACTATGAAGGAGAAAAGATATAAAGCACAGAGAAAAGTTACCAGAAAATCTTTCAAGTCAATCTTAAGAGGATATCAGAAAACCCAATGAAAACAAAAATATCATAAGACAGATCTACTACATAATATATACAGTATACCACTGGAATGATCAAGAGTAATTTTTTTTTACAAAACCTTTTACAACTGAAAAAAAAAAAAAATAATAATAATAAATACTTCTTCAGACAAAGTTCTGGTAGTTCTTAACCGCATGACGCACTCACTAATGGCTGTCACCGACTCTACATCACAAGCTTTGTTCAATAATCTAAATCAACTCTATCCTCAGGCACCTGCCTGAGGGGAGAGTTGATGGGGGGTTCTGCCCCCTAACAACTCCAGCAAAAATTGTCTTCACCTCAGATAAATTTGAAACTCAGGAGCACTGAATAGACTCCCAGTGTGAGCTGCATTTTCCACAATTTTTTCTTTTATTTGTGGAATTATCGTTCATGTCTGCAGATTATTTCTTGTAACAATGACTTCAACTTTTTATTCTCTATAAGAACATCGTCTTCAATTTACCCGAGCTAACACATCCACGCAGTAAAGATTAACCAAAGTTATAAAGGTAAACAAAATGGATTAAATATATAAAATTATAATGTCAAGATGATTAACATACAAATAAATGTCAACAAAAATACATGAACCAACCACTCTCACAGCCAAAAATATTTTGAGGTCACTACTAATTCATGTTCTGGCTCATTTTCATCCTTAACTTTCAGTACGTCTGTGCCCACAATGACAGGGTAACAGCAGTTATAGAAGTAATCTGATACATCATCATCCACCAGAAGAATCAGTACCACTCTCTCAAAATATTTCAGCTATCTGCTAGATTGATAAAATGACTAAAGGTCTTTCATAGCTTGATGAAATGGGAATAACAATATCAAAGATGCACATCAGTTAGTAGTTCAGGTTATATATCAACATAAATGTACAACTGACAAAATCTATATGATCTATTAGACATTTCATATCTTGACAGTCCTACGAATCATACAGACAACTAGAGTAGGTACCTACTAATGATAGAATACTGTCTATCCTAAAAAGAATATGAATACAATGGCCAACTCCATTGCTTTGTGTTGCATCACAAAATGTTGTTATATTTTCCCTTTCAATTGGTTTAAGTTTCATCATATCAAATCATCATATAAAGTATTAATGCTAATGGTAAAGAGTGAAAAGAATATTTTGATAATCAAATCACCTGAATACAATCATAGATTTTACACCTTTGTGGACTGTGACAAAGTATCATTGTATATTCCATTTCCATTCAGTTTGACTTGATTCTGAGAAAGCCAGTGTTAAATCCATTAGCCTCTCATGTACACCAACATTTACAAAGCAATATCATAACAAGTTGATCCCTCTTTTTCCCCACTCTTGGAAGCTCATCGACCTGGATGACATGCTTTGAGCAGGAACAAAGTCTCTGGACTACTGTAGATGAAGGGCAATTTCAGTGAACTACTGACAAGTTTGTCTTTTCCCATCCCTCAGGATTTTATATAAATCCTGATACCTCATAGTCAAAGGGCTAACCATGACTCCATGAGTGCAAATATACCTGCCAAATCCAATGTTATTTTGGTGTATCAAGAATTAGAAATTCTGATATTTATCACTACTAACCCAATCTGTATATGAAGACACTTATATAGTTTCATTACAACAACTTGTTCCTCTTGTCTGACCTAGGAAGTGCTGAATGCTAGACAGGTCAAGAATGACAATATACAATAAGCCTGAAGACAAACCTGGTAGTATTGTTCGTCAAGGGAGACCTGTTTATTACCAGATATCTGGAATTATACGACAAATAAGTCCATTTACATTCATCACAAATCTTGGGATACATTTTGGTTATCCTATACATAACTGATTAACAATATATATATATATATATATATATATATATATATATCAACCTGGTAATTATATATCTGGATGATAAATACATATACACTATCCTGTTCTTTTATTTCTCTAAGTATGATTTCACCAGGAATCAGTTGTGTTTGCAATTTTAAAGACATATTGAATATCTATATTCATAACACTACAGGTACCAAAAAACTATTTCACTCCTAAATAAGCTGACCTATGGATATACACTACAATAAACATGAGGAAATGACATTTTGACATTAGGAAATTGCTAACAAAATAAAGGAACTGCTCCCTTAAAGAGTGCACAGACAACAGCAAAAAACACTAGTCACAAAGTCAATCATTCTAACAGTAAATTTCTAACACAGTGCATAACAAAAATACCAAAAATACTACAAAAAGGCTCATTCTCGTATGTTCCTTCCACTCAGGCAGTGTCTGTCAACCTACCCAAACAACTT